TTGAATGCCCCCTAATAATGTTTCTAGTTTTTAGCTAATGTTGAATGCCTCTTTGATTTTGGTACTTTGACTACTACAAACTTCCATACTAACTTTAAGATAACATAATAATATGAAGAGTCACATAAGCATGCAACTCATGCACGACGTCTACGACGCTCGTATTTAATTTTTCCATAAACGCCAAAGCAAGCTCATCTCCATACGCACCTCTTTTGTATAAACACCATCCTCTTCCTCAATTTTTTGTTCTCTGCACTCTAGCATCCTTGAACTCTCTCAAAGAAAAACTCTTTGCAAATTCTTACCTGCTTATCCACAGTTTTCCGGCGTTCGTCTGTCGTATCTGCGGTTACCTTCTCTCACTTTACGGCTACCAAAAAGAAATGAGTAAAATATTGAACCTTTATTGTTTATGTGTACTTTCTTTTATTCTTAGTCTTCATCCTTCTCATTTAACAATGACTGAAGGATGTACATCAGGCCCTATAAGAAGTCTCAACCGCTGTAGGACCCAGTCATAGCTGTACTCTGTCTCGTCCTTGATAATTGCATAGGCAATTAAGAAGTTTTTGTTGCACAGCGTCATTCCAATTGTTTCCACCAACGGCATCTTGTACTTGTACAAATGAAAGCAACATAGAGTCAAAAAACTTATTCAAACATACTAATTAAGATTCATATTAAATTGCTATTTATAAAGTAACATAACATACATGTTGGTTTTGTACGTGGAAACTATACCGATATACCAATAATATGTCTGGAACAGACTGACTGCTTTAGGATGCGACATGAACACACATGTCAATGCCTGTGTGTCCGGATCAATATCTGTGTAAACTATATACTTGCTAACCGTAGCCAAGTGCATAAGCTGGGCAACCACATCTCTACCCTGTAAACTATCTCTGCGCATTTTATCCTTATAGTTATATACTTGTCGGCGAGTAGCATTGTCTACACGGTTTTTCTTCTGAATCGCAACCAAAATTGCTGCCTGTTTTGCCTGAGCAGCACTCATATCACGTACAATCTCTTTAAATGAATCGCTAAGTCCGCTCATCTGTCGATGACCCTCGGGATATACAGCCATCGCATGATTATGCGTTCCCTTCTTATCATTATCATAAGGAACTCAGATATACCATTTTTTAAATTGTGCCTCCAATTTGACTTTTATCAGAAAAGGGCATTCGGTCGCTTTAGTTTTCTAACGTCTCAAAACAACATTAACAAATTTTCCTATATTGCCTCTGTAACGTTCCCCTCGATGACACCTCAAAACCCTCTGCTTGCCTTCTTTTTCGTGTTTCGAGATTACCAATTCGAAACCATTCATAAGTGTCAATTTTTTCGTCCGCTCAACAGCTTCTTCACAAATATCAAATAGGTCATCTGTAGCGAAAACAAGTCTGTAATGAACAATGTCTCCTCCAAAATTTTCGACCGGCACCTGCAATATATTACGATGTATGTTAATAATTTTACAAGATAATCAATTATAACTTCTAGCATAATATCAATAAATTTTATTTTATAAGATAATCCATTATAATCTATAACTTAATAATTTATACTAATATAATTTTTCCTATTATAATTAATTATATTTTATACTATATTGATTTATAATAATTATACTAATTACTAATATAATTTTTACTAATATAGTAATTACTATAATTATTAGTACAATAATACTAGTAACTATACTAATTACTATGTTAGTATAATAAAAAATATATATTAGTAATTAGTATAATTATAATAAATTATATTAGTTATAATAAATTATATTAGTTATATTACTATAATTATATTGTATATTAGTAATTACTATTATAAGTTATAATAATTATACTAATTACTATTATAAAATATATAATATATACTAACTTAATAATTTATACCAATATAATTTTTTCCTATTATAATTAATTGTATTTTATATTATAATTTATAGTAATTACACTAATTACTAATATAATTTTGTATACACTAATATATACTAATATAGTAATTAGTATAAATACTAGTACAATTCTAATTACTATATTACTATAAAATTATTGTATTAATAATTAGTATAATTATTATAAATTATATTACTCCATAATTATATTAGTATTTACTATATAATTATATATATATATATATATATATATATNATATATTTTTAATTATGAAATTAATTAAATATATTTTTAATATTTAAACATTTTTTAAATAAAAAAATGCAAAAAAAAAAAAGAAAACAAAGGCGGCCACGAAAGGAACGGCCGGCGTGCACAAAGTGAACGGCCGGCCGCCTTTAGCGACCGCAAAACAAATGGCTGGCGGCCTTACGCGGCCACGAAATGGACGGTCGGAACGAGAATCGCGGTCAAGCGAGTTGTGGCCACGATCGTCGACCGTCCACATTGTTGCTGGCCGCGGTCGCCGGCCAGCCAGGTCGACAACGGCCGCAATCGTCGGCCGGCCGGTCGACAGTTTTTTTTTAAAAATTTTTTAAAAAAAATCGTAAAAAATGTAAAAAAAAAATGACTTGTGAATTGGAGACCCCTTTCTCGGTGCGTGAGGATTGTCCCGCCATTTTTTAGGATTTTTTCGGATTTTTTTCGAAATTTTTGATTGAGTTTTTGTTTTGTTTTTTTTAGAATGTTTATTTTTTTGGCTCAAAATTTGATTTTTTGGAACCAAATGTGATTTTTTTGCTTTTTAAGTTACAAATTATTTTTTTATTTTAAGTAAAAGGGCAAAAATGTCTTTTAGGGAGGTGGTATTTAGTAATAAGGTGACTGTGAATAGTAACACCCTATAAGAGCATCTCCAATGCTATAGTTTTGAAAGACAATGATTTTTAACACATGTCAATCAATGATTGTAATGTTAATTCACATATGAATAATGTTAAAAGAATGAAAATTTCAATCAAACTAGTATCTCCAATCCATAATTTTGATAAGAAGTTATTTGTATAGGTGGACCAATTAAAATAATTCATTGATACAAGAATAATAAAAAATTAAATCAAAATTTAAGTGAATTGATGAGTCATCATGTTTAACATGGTGTTAGATATTAGAAAGTGGATTCAACATTGTTAACATTAAATGTCATCCACCTCATCATGAAAGAGTTCATGACAATATGCATTGGAGAATAAAATTAGTAAGACACTTTCAAAAGTTGATGATATGGATGATTTTTTCTAATGTCAAAAGTGACATTGGAGATGCTCTAAAATAGCATCATATAAAATAGCAGTTTTGTCCTCCAATTTGGTATGTGTGCTTCACACGTGCAATTCTTGGACGTTTTGTTTCTTTCTATGGTCGAAGGTTGTATACATTGATTTTTTTCTTTTATTTTATTATGTATTAGAAGTTGCAACTTATTACAATAAATCAAATAAAAAAATGTATAAGTTGCAAATACTCCAAAATCACGCATAATACATGATGCAAATAATAATTTTTTAAATAAATTAAATACCTCATGTCATTTAAAATTTTTTGAAATCTTGAATATGCCTATTTTTTTAAAAAAAAATTACAAAAATCAAACTAGATACATCTAAATTTTTTAATATTTAAAAATAAAAATCTTAAAGAACCTCGGACAAGAGATTTGGGTCAAAATTTCCCCCCAAATTTGTTCCTCATCCAACCAAACTAGTTTGTGGCCCGTGCGATGCACAGAAAAACAATATTAAAATTGTATTATAAATTAAATATAAAATAACATTAATTATGATTTATTTATTGTTTTTAAATTAAACCGTGTTGGACACAGTTCGACCGGATGGACTGAGAACCGGTTTATAATCAGTCTAGTTTGCTTGAATAAAATATTTGATCTCAAATCCGTCAACACCAGTCGGTTGGACTGGTAGTATCGATACGATTTTTTAAATAAATTTTGTTATATTTTAAATTATTTTATATAAAACTACATATTTAAATAAAATAGAGATTTATAAATTATTTATCAATTTGTTTAAACACTTGAATTTATAAATTGTTTAGATATCTAAGTAACACATTTTATTTAAATTTATTACAAAAAATACTATATATATATATACATTTTTTAAATTGATTATAAATTAAAATCTAAACAAACCACAAACGATTTAATAAAATAGCTTGATTGTTTGAAAACCTTATATTTACTATCGATTTGGTGTGGTCGAATTGATACATAACGTAGTCACTTGGGACCAACTAAGTTGTGTCAAGTTTTTTGACTATTTTAAATATCACATAAAAGTAATTTACTCAACCTGGGCAGTACCCTAATTCAATTACCCGATTGATCCGAAGAAATTTTCTTATTTTCTTTAAATATATTTAATTTTATGAAATAAAAATATATTATGATTCATATAATAAATTTCTACACCAAATGATAGTATATTAAGATTATAAATTATATATCTAAAGATGAATTAATTATTTTTTACTTTATACATATTATAAAAAATAAGCATCGTAAATTTTAAAAAATTAAGATTACTTGATTGATTATGCAATTTAAAGAATATTTTCAGCGTTCAATTTTTTTTAAAAGGCCCAAATATAAAGACCGAGATTCTAAAACTTTTGTTATATTTTGAATTAAGATTTTATAAATATAGAGACCGAGATTTTAATATTGTTTGTTGTTTCTAAGAAAAAAATAAAATTAAAAACATACACACTTAATAAATATTAGCCGGATTTTTTAAATAATAAAATAAATTAAAGCTTGAAATTTAAGGTAACATTTAATATTGTATAATTTTTAAAGAAAAAAATAAAAAAAATAATAAAACTTACTATTTATATGCTGCATTAAATTCTGACTATTTTTTTGTTACTATTTTTTATAAATGTTAATTCTTATTATATATATATATATAGATTACCAAACGCTGCATAAGATAATTTCGACAAACAATTCTGATCTATCTTTGAGAGAACCCAAAAGTCACCAGCAAAATCCAATTCTCTCTCATTCAATCCCCGATAAATCTTTCTTTCATGATTGGTTCAATTGAAAGGTATGTTCTCCTTTATTGACTTTACCCTCTTGCCTTTTAACTTTCTAGACATTATCCTCGTTGTGATTCAATGTGAGAATCTTGAAAATCTGGTAAAAGCCTATTTCATCGTCTTGTTTCTTAAAAGCTTTAATCTTTACCAAACTTTATGATTGTCCATGAAAAATCTCAAATATATTGTGGAATGTATAAATTAATTGATGGGTTCTTTATAACGTGGCTTCTGCACCTTGCGGGTTTCAACAATTCCTTAACCTGCTTTCCTATCGGGTCTACATAATTGCTCTCTAGGTACGGGTTTTTAGTTGAAAATAAGAAGGAAAAAAAGGATTAAGCTTTATGAAGCGATTTCATTGCTTTGTGCTGCTGTTGTCTTTTTTATTTTTTATTTTTTTTTTTTGCCTTCAGTTTGATATTCAGAGTCAGGTTATATGGCCAGTACTTTTTTCATTCCTTTGCATTTTTTGGTCCATATGTTTAATGCTGCGATTTCATTGCTCGTTTTAATTATAGAGTACTCCGGTGTTGTGAAGGAATATATATAATTTAGGTTTTATGGATTTTCACTTTTATATAATTTCTAATAGTTGATTGAATTTTTGGATTTAATAGCTATGTCACAATTAAAAATCTAGTATGACTTCTTCCTGAATTTGTGTAGGTTCACAAAATTGAGGGCGAAAAGGTTTTTTCGGTATAAATGGATGATGGGTTTAACGAACGTATGGCGGCAATACTGAAAGTCCTTAAAGCCAGAGAAATTTTCAAAGTGGACAATAACCCATGCCGAATTGAAGAGGTATTCAATCTTAAGATGGACTTTAAAATTAAGCAAGAACTAATTCCGATTTTGCTACTGTTCAGGGCCTTTATTTAGGTTCCCTAGGAGCTGCTAATATGAGGAGTACTTTGAAAAGCTTAAAAGTCACGCATATTTTGAGCATCACGAGCTCACTTGCCCAGTCTCATCTTGATGATTTTGTGTACAAAACTATTCAAGGTCATTTTTTTTTTACCTGATTTTCTATTTTGCATCATTTGCTTCAGTTTGATTGTTTTTGGAAATAAATGTCATACATAATCAATGTCAATGAGTAACTATCATTTGAGTGATAATAATTTCTCATCCTGAATTTATTTTATTTTTATTTTTAATTTCGGAGGCTTTCTCTAATTATATCGATGCTGCAGCAAAGTGAAAGGAGATCTCAACTAATTGATTTGGTTATTTGGTAGAGACTGTTCACGGCTTGACTCTTTGATTTTATATTGTTTCTGGATTGCAACAGTGTCTGATAAAGCAGATGCAAATATATCTCAATATTTTGATGAGTGCTTCAAATTTATTGACGAAGCTCGAGCAAGAGGAGGTGCTGTTTTGGTTCACTGTTTTGCTGGAAGATCAAGAAGGTTTTTCCACAATTTACAGTCACTAGCTTTTTGTGATTTAGTGAATCATCACCGTCAATTAGTATTATAAAATGGGAATTCCGCCTGATAAAGAAATTTGCAAAACTTATGTATCTGCTTTTTAAATTTGAAAAATCTTAAGTGTAGGCGTAACATGAAGCTGGAAGCATGACTCTTATTTAACTTTTGCTCAACAAAGAAAATATTTTTTCTCTCTATTATACTATGTTATTTTAGGTTTACAATGATTTTGATGGTAAATTCAATGTAAAGATTGTTGTTAAGTGAAAGTTGCCAAACTTATTATTATTTTACTATTCTTGCTGTCCTGAAAGCATTTTATTAAGTTTCCAATAAGATCCAAAATGGCTCCGTTATTTCAAATTTTTATTTGTTTCCCATACAATTCTTATTTCTTGTGCTTGGTCTAAACTGATTTCTTAAGTAATGCACCATGTAGTGTGACTATTGTCGTGGCTTATCTGATGTTTAAAAATGGGAAGAGCTTGTCTGAAGCTATGGGGTACGTGAAGTCGAAAAGAGCAGTGGCATCTCCAAATTATGGTTTTATGTTACAGTTACAAGAATACGAAACCTCTCTTCAAGGTACTGCCACATTCTTTTTGAGGAAGAAATTTTTTTGTATAACGCTAATCAGCATGTCATGAATGGCAGAAAAAATGTTTCTAAGGAGCTCAAAATACTTTACTCATTGAATTTTGTTTAGGAATACGATTACATAAAATACCTTTATGTTTACCTTAATGATCCAAATTACATGTATTCATCAGATGCTTTCACCTAGCCGCTTATAAAATGGGAACCCGACTGTCAATGAAGTATTTTAAATTTTTAGTTAACTTTCAATTTTGAAAAGAAATTCTTCTTCTCCTTCTTCTTCTCCTTCTGCTTCTTCTTCTTCTGCTTCTTCTCCTTCTCCTCCTTCTTCTCCTTCTCCTCCTTCTTCTCCTTCTCCTCCTTCTTCTTCTTCTTCTGTAATTAGGCTAAACCTCAAACTTACTTTGGTTCTCTGTTATCATCTGCAACTAAAATGAGTTTTTGATAGGAAGTTGTTTTGACGCAGGAAGCAAGAGCCGAGCAGGTTATGAATCTCATAAAAGTGATGCCCATGTATAGATTTTTTTAGTTTAATTGNAAAAAAAAGAAGAAAAAGAAAAAAAAAAACAGATGCTGGTAATGCACATCTAGGATTGCAAACGAGACAAAAAATTGCATCGAGTAGGCTTCAAATTTCAAGCCCATGCTTGTGTTCGAGTGGTTCAAATTTCGACAACTAAATCTATGTCAAATCCTAAAACACAAGACGATGATATTGTAATACATGTCAAATATTGTGATGCCAAATAAAAAGTAATAATAGAATAATCATCTGATTTCAGATATAAAATCAAAGGACATGACCTCAAAGGTTCTCCCCAATAAATGTTTGGCCCAAGACACAATTTGAACAACTAAAATGGATTAGATCCCAGAAATGCATCGTTAGAAATAGGGACATTTTCATCTATCCTACAAGATTTTAAAAATATTGCAAAAACACAATTCATAAACAAATAATTACATCTCTACCTAATATGTAATACATAACTACATTAATGCCTAAAGTAAGTTACCATATCCATTCAACTTTCATCCCCCTTTTTGTGGGCTTGATTAAGAGAGAGAAATGAAAAATAATAACTGACTCATTTAATTCCTTAATTCACGCAGTTTGTACATTTGTAATTCACGCAGCCGTCAGGTGGTATATTTTGCGTTTATGTTGGTATATATTCAGTATATGTTACAATGAAGAACATGTCGTCCATCAAAAAATTATGTCTTCTTTATTATTTTTTTTTATTTTTATTTTTTACTTTTAGACATAAAAGTATATATAAACATATTATAGCAGTTACTTATATTCCATATACAAACAAATATACTGCAAATATACTGTACATATATACCCGTCGAACGTCTTCCTGTTAATGTCACGACTCTACTTCAAGCTGGTTTCTTATCTGGAAGGTGTTACTGTCAACATTTTCCAGCCCAGTTTTTCTTGCTGTCCTTTTACTTTGGTTCTCCTATACTTTATAATGATGTAATTTGTCGACCTTACACTAAAAATAGCAAATTCAATTGAAGATAGAAAAAAATATGCTAGTAGAAATTCTCATGGATATTTCAATGTCATAGTTCTGTTTGAAGAATAGAAGTTCCAACAGATATTTCAATAAAAATCAACATTAAAATGGAATTAAATTTTCTTTGGAATTTTAGTTGGAATTTAATGATTCTTGTAGCAATTTTTCCAACAATTTATTATTTTTGAAATTTATGTTGGAATATACATCCCGATTTTTGTAAATTTTATTTTAAAATATCTATTAAAATTATTATTGAAATTATCTTAAAATATGGTGTTGTTGGAATTTGATGATTTTCTAGTAGTGTTAATCTTGCGCCAAACATTTGTTGGAGCCAATGTTGGTAGGACTCGGGTTTTACATAAGTTTAGTTGTTGAGAACGGAATCCAGTTCAAACACTTCTAAGAACCGAGTCAATCTTGAGCAAGTTCATTTTTTCAAGAGCCGGCCAAGGTATTAGGTCATTTGTTTCATCGTCAGAATCATCTGGATGATTTCCATGTGCAAGCGCATCGTTATCATCGTTAACCACAACATCCCGAAGACGTTTTGATCTTAGCATTCTTCCAATCTGCAACGATATATAACTATCAATAGATAGGGAAAAGTGTCCCGTAAGATGCCCTATAAGTCTTTGTTCTAAATTGAACCTTTCGTGAAGGACATAGGACTGAGTTTACCACTTCATAAGGGGAAGCTTTCTTCCTCGGATTGATGTGAGGGAGTTGAAAACTTCCAGTTATCATTCATCGATATTTCGTTCTTAAAGAAAGGTTGATCTAATTCTTTATTCTTTCTTTAGCATTCCTTCCCCAGATTCTGTTCCGATCGATCCCTCCCGCCTTTTCCGACTAAAATAACGACAAAACCGATGCAAATTACCTGTTTTTGACCGCCTGGTCAATGCGAATCGCATGTGTTTCGCATATTGCGTGCATGATTTGACTTTCTTTCAGTGTTGCATCGCAACCTCGCAAACTTCCATTCATACACTGAGGGAAAGTACACCCGATAGGCAGATCTCTCGACATCGACATCGGAAATGCATTGCAACCAAACCAGATCACATAACCGTAATCATTCTCTTGAAAGGGACTTTTACGCCCTTGAACTAGATCCCCTGTTTTCCAAGGTTCAGGCATCGGTTACTTAGCCTAATATGTACAAGTTTGAATCCTGCCGCTCTAGATCCGCCCGGTCTTTAGTATTTACCCACCTCCTCCAAGTATTAAGTCCGAGGTATTCCGCTTCCTTTGCTGAGCTGAAAAGAAAGTAGATTAAATCCTGTTAAGGCAGTAATCGGCCCCTCGCATTTATCGAATCATAAATATATGGAAATATACTACCTCAAGAGCCGTACTAAGAAAGTGATGACTTGCGCCTACTCTACATTCCCTCGGGGATGCAATAAAAAAGAGTCTTTTATCCAACAAGTGGTACGCCAAAAAAGGAAGTTATTCCCGAATCTGGTTCAACGAAATCCCGGCCCCTCTCATAGAAACTACCTTACCTAATAGAAAAGAACGAAAAAGTCTTCTAGAGGATCTATTTTGCCAGAGGTCCGATCACAAGTCCTTTGTTCTGCCCGGCCGCCAGGAATCCCTTGCTTCAGATTTGCCATCAAAGGTGCCACACTCGCGTTTTCCCGGGCAGGATTCTAAACCGAAGTCTAAATACATTTATTCCGTGCTTCAACTTTACATTATCAGATTAGGAAAGTGCTGCGCAACTCTTTCAGGAGTGGAAAACAGATGTATTAGTTTTCCACAAGTTAGATAGACGTTTAAAAGCCGGGCACTACTGCGAGGCGTGAAAACACCCGATCCCTTCCAATTCTATGTTCATAATAATCTTTCGCCCACTATATTTTTCTTGGTGGGTGCAACTAAAAAAAATTGATGAAAATCCTTACAACTTAAATAAATATCCAAAAAAAACTCTTAAAACCAAATTGAGTTGGCCACATTAAAAAGAGTCGCCACCGACAGACATTTTATATCCTCTTACATGATTTAACCAAAATATGAATAGCATTAAGAAAAGTTCCCTCTGCACAATAGTAGTGATCCTTCTGCTAAAAGGTGCAGAAGTTCACATAGTAGTGATCCTTCTGCTAAAATCATTTATAGTCCACATTAGAGCTGCTCGTAATTTGAAGTTTTGACCGCTTGATGCATCAAATGCATCCACGCCATCCCACAAACGCTTCAATTCATCAATTAATGGCTGCAAAAAAAATCAATGTCATTTCTTGGTCCCTTTTCTCCAGGTACCACCATGGACAATATCAAAGAAGATTTCCTAATGCAAACCCAAGACTCTACATTATATGGAATCAATACAACTGGCCAGGTGCTGTACGTCGTGCTCATTGTTCGAAATGGGTTAAATCCATCAATAGCAAGAGCAAGTCTTACACTACGAGGATCAGATGCAAATTCTGGAAATTTGGCATCAAAATCTTTCCATGCTTTACCATCAGCTGGATGTCTCAATTTTCCATCTTTCGTACGCCCTTCAACATGTCATCTCATAGATGATGCAATTTTAGATGACATATAAAGCCTTTTAAGTCTTGGTATCAAAGGAAAGTAACGCAAGACTTAGCTGCTTTATTCTTTCTTTGCTTGTCTTCATCTAGGTTTACTGCATTATCACCATCACTGTTCACTATCCACCTTGAAGCAGAGACACATTACAAGATTCATAGTTTAAATTATCCCCCCAGTACAACATACAATCATTTGGGCAACAATCAATTTTTTGATATCCAAGTCCCAACTCCCTGATTATTTTTTTCGCTTCATAATAAGATGACGGCAACGAAGATCCAGGAGGAAAGACATCATCTAACAGCTCTAGAAGCATAGTGAATGAGTTTGCGGACCAACCATAGAGACATTTGAGATGAAATAACCTCAATAAAAATGATATTTTTGAATATTTCAAACAACCTGGGTAAAGTTCAGTATCTCTTTCTTCCTCCAACGTTTTCTGCCGCTCTTTGCATTATTTACATTGGTATCTCTAGAACTAGGTTGCGACTCATCACCTAAATGTCCACATTCAATTGTTGATTCTAAGATATCCGGAGCAACTGTAGATGCATTTTCTAGATTATGTGCAGGAGTAGATCCCCAGGCATCTTGAAAGAGTCCCCTAATGTTATATTCTCCATCTAAATCATCTTCAATATTTCTCACAGTCAGGTACATTTGGGATGCATTGATCTGTTGCTGAAAAAATATTCTCACCATGGAAAATCCAACAAGTATAACCTTCTAGAAATCCATACCATATAAAATGCTCATGAACAATTTCAACATCATGTGAAAATCTGTTGAAACATTTTCGACATGGGCAATATATTGTTCCATTGATAGCTGATTTTTCCAAAGCAGATTTGATAAATATGGACACCCCTTCAGTATATTTTTTGCTTGATCTAGGATCATGCATCCAACTTTTGTCCATCCTCAATTCGAACAATCCTATCAAAATTCCAAAACACGCTTAAAAGACTTATGAAACGCTAAAAATTAAACTTCGTAACACTAAAAGCTAAACAACAAAGCTTCATTACAATACAACAAAGCACTCTTTACAACATATGCACTTTTCATTTATCACATAACAAATATAAATAAATTTACTATTTTCTTCATTAAATTAGAAAAAAATTGAAAAAAAAGGCCCTGGAAAGGTTCATGAACCATTTCATTCAAAGCAAATTGCATTCAAAATTTCACATCTTCCATTCGAACAATCATATCCAAAAACTCAAAACATCCCAACTTGTAGGGATCACTAAAAAAGTGAAACTTTATTAGATTGAAACAAGAAAATATGAAAATTTTCTACTACAAATGGATGTATCGGAAAAGAAATATGAGGGAAAAAGATATAACCAAAAAAGAAAAAAAAAAACCTTCCAAAGAACAGAGGTGAGGGTTTGAATGATCCGCTCCCAATTTCTGGCCTTCTAAAGGCCTATCAGTGTAAGATTAGGTAGCAGCCCACGAGAAGAATTCAATT